GTTCAGCACTAAGCCTTGATCGAGAAGAGGCACTACGTTAAGCCATGAGCTCGCACCCTTGTCTCCCGATTGGTTAACTGACCGCAGCAGATCCGAGGGTAGAGTGGAATCGATACTTTCCATTCTGGATTTCACCGACGTAGTTTTCAAGGCTTGATGTTGTCCTTTTAACTCCTCCGTGGAATTCTCGCCTGCCACCAGGAACATGCTCTATGTAGTAATCATTAACGTAGAAGCAGCAAACTGCTGTGGAGCTTCAAACCTTAAGTCGGGTACGCCCATCCCTCCTTGAGCGGGTGTCAAAGTAACGAGCTGACGCAGATCACTAGGGAGGGGCCCCGTTTGACCGAATAGTGTTGGGAGAAGTAAGTCGTCGATCGCCTCTTGGATAGGGTCAACGTAATCTTCAAACGACTCTATTGTGCTCATGAAATAGGTAAACTTGGACTTGTAACCCATCGTGAAAACAGTTTAGGCTGCATGAGGCTGGCTCCTTGCTATCTCAGATAGTGCTTCGAGTTCTCCTTTCCATCCAAGGACCTTTTCCCGACAATACTGACCTTTGAACTCTTGAGATCCGATGACGGTCCCTAAGTGGCGCTAACCTTCAGTTGTAAAATTGAGCCTTATCTCCAAACACCCTCTTTGCCTCGTCTGCAAGTGCGTCCGACTTGACAATCAGTTAGCTCTTTGATCCATTCCCTAGATAACCATACTTCTGTCCTCCCTGGCTCAGGTGATTGTACCAGTTATACAACGGCACGATTTGTCCACCCCCCGCAGAGTCGTGGGCTAGCCATACTTGTTTAACACCTGGTGTGCTTGTCCTTAAGCTCTGGATCATGATAGATGTATTGATCGAGTACCAGGGTATGGCCAAGGGATCCCCCTTCGTCGTACCCTCCTGTGATAATATCTCACCTCCGCCGCAAATAAAGAGCCTCGAGGGGCTTCTGTAGGTGTTTATGATGTAAAGTGACATTTCCTTGCAGGTTATCTGGACGTTTTGTAAGGCGATGGATCTGTTCATTTGGTTAAAGGCGTTGCTTGCATCTATCAGTAAAATACCATGTGTTCCTTCCTCTACAAACACTTGACTCATAGCATGTATCGCGACCTATGCGCCTGCGCTATTGCCTGCGCAAACCTGGAGGGGGCCCGCTGCCTCTTTGATCTCTTCCTTCAAAAATCCAGCAATAGTTTCTCCAACTATTTGCCTCAGGACCTCACCAACGGTTTTTGTCCAAGGGGATGAGTCTGCAACAGGTATAGCCTTCCAGCAAAGATGGATGGTGAGCGATCTTTAAAAGATTTCTTGCGAAAACGGCGATCTCCTCTCTCAAAATAATAATAATAATAATAATAATAATAATAATAATAATAGTAATAATAATAATAAGGCGGTTCAAACTTGTCATGTAATCTCAGCTCAATGGTAAGAACAAGATCAAAGCAGCAAATATTTGGGTTGTGTCGCTCATGAGGTATGGAGCAGGAACAATTAAATGGAATAAGGAGGAACTTCAGGGAATAGATAGGAAGTCTAGAAAAATCATGACAATGAATGAGGAGCTACACCCTAGAAGTGATTTTGGCAGAATATACGTACCCAGAAAGAAGGGAGGAAGAGACCTGATCAGTTGTGAAATCTGCGTGAGGAGAGAAGAGAACAACTTGAGTTGGTATGTGAGAAATAGTGAAGAGGCATTACTCAGGAAAGTTGGAGATAGTAATGTAGTTAACATCTCAGAGGCTGTGGACCCGAAGGAGTACAAAGTGAATGAAGTAAAAGAGACAGAGAATGAATGGATGCAGTAAAGAATGCATGGGCAGTATGTGAGAGAAAAGGAAGGTATTGACTGGGATAGAACTTGACAGTGGATTGCAAAAGGAGATTTGAAAGGATGTACTGAGGCCCTGATATGTAGCGCCCAGGAACAAGCTTTGAGAGCAAATTATACGAGATTTCATATTGATCACACAGCAGAATCCCCTTTGTGCAGAATGTGCGGAAGTAAGGGAGAAACGGTGGCCCATGTGGTGAGTGAGTACGGTAAGATGGCGCAGACAGAATATAAAGGAAGGCATGATAACGTGGCACGGTATATCCACTGGCAACTTTGTGGTAAATGTGGATTGGAAAGAGCTGATAGCTGGTATGAACAGAAGCCGGGGGGAGTGGTGGAAAGTGAAAACTTCAAGATACTGTGGGATTTCACAGTCCAGTGTGATCGGAAAATTGAGGCAAGAAGACCATACATTGTCTTTATTGATAAGAAGGAAAGAGAGGTTGTCATAATTGATGTTGCCTTCCCAGGTGATGACAGGGTGAAAGATAAGGAACTTGAGAAGTTAGAGAAATACCAACTATTTAGCGATGAAATTGCATAAGTCTGGCGCATCCGAAAAGCCATTGTAGTGCCTGTTGTTATTGGGGCCCTTAGAGCCGTATCAGTCAACTTTAAGGAGTACATGAAGCGAATCGCCGTGAACGTGAGGTTGGAAGTTATCCAGAAAACAGCATTGTTGGGGACAGCAAAGATACTAAGGAAAGAACTGTTCCTGTAAGAAGAAGGCAAAGAGAGATCTGGGACCCGTGGTGACTTGTTGTAACCCGCTCCCAAAAACTATAAACTGGGCCCAACATCCGGCCTGAGTCTACAAGGAATGGACATAATAATAATAATAATTATAATCATTGTCATTCATTGTGAAGTTCTACCTCCACTTCCGCCGCAATTTTCTTTATTTCAAAGTTGTTTTCCTGTAAATTCCAATACTTCATTATTTTTTGGAGCGTTAATTTCCCTTTTCGCATTAAATTAGATACAGCTGATGACCTTGAGGGAGATCTCGAAGTTACTACTAACATCACTACGAGAGAGGTAGGAACGTTTAATTGAGGGTAGTATTCTGGTAAACTGGCCACCTACCCCTCCCGTAACCCAAAATTTTGCTTCAAGTGTGAAGTTCGTGTTAACGTTGCTTTAGGGAAGGGGTACTGAGGTGGGTAGTTTCCCATAGTTGTACACCGATCCAAATTGCTCATTAGCATACGAGTTAACCCATAGAAGGGGTCACAATAGGCACAAATCAAATTCAAAAGTTGAAAGAGTTGGTTAGTTGAAGCAATTTGTGCAGTTTTCAAATTGCAAGCAATAACAAAGAAAAAAGCAGCCACAGAAAACTGCGAAATTGCTGGGTAGAAAAACGATGATGAGCCCATACATTCTTTGCAGTTTTAGGTTTTTCAAAGAGAATTTCTCCGAAACTATTGGATATATCGGGCTCAAATTTTCAGAGATAACTGAAATTGTTATGCTCTTTTGATATTCAGAGAGTTTATTTTGACAGCTTGATCAGAGAATGAAAGTTACATCCTAATTAAGAAAAAAATGTAAACAAAGATTCGCCTATACCTAACCATAAATGGTCTCCTTTTACAGGGCCATGTCCCTCAGCACTCAGCTGTAAAAATTGCTTATTAGTGTTGACTTTGGTTAGAAAACTAGGCGCCATCTAGTCCTGAGCGGCTAGCCTTCCGTCTTGCTAAATGTTCCGTCAATTTAGACTGTGTTTTCCTGCCTTTTTTCTCCCTCATACTGACACTCGCATCAATGTGTTTTACAGTACCAAGTGAAGTGGAACCCTCCGAAAGACCCCAATGGTCTTGTGCTTAAATATGACGTAGAAATCAAAATGGTAGGTGAATCACCAAGTGTTTCATGCCCTAATGTTGGCAGAATAGTGAAAGCAAACTATAGTCGTGTAGAGACTGTTCTTAATGCCCATTGTGCACATATACAAAGCGAAAACCCAATTTATAATAACCTTGAAACCTGAACAAAGCTTCTGAGGCCGCTAGAATGAACAAAATCGTCTGGATGCGGAATCCGTAACAGAGACCGCAAAGTACCAAGAGAAGGTTAAAGCACTTTAGCGAAGGCAAACGTCTCCCGGGGGGTAAGAGGGGCGTAATAAGTTAAAAAAGCATTTTGTTTTCTTTCTAATTTCTTGTGTTTGGCAATGAACAGGACTCTTTTCCTCCGGAGATGCAGTGTCGTGATGGCAAAAAGCGTTATTATGGTAGAAAAATGCCACCTGGTGCTGCTGGAAACTTTTCTGTTCGTGTACGAGCCATCACGCCTGCGGGAAATGGATCTTGGAGCCCGGTAGCTTTATTCTCTCTACAAGAAAGAGAGAAAGCCACAAGTGAGTGTCTAACGTATTTTCCTGTTTATCATGTCAGATATATTTATATTCGTTAAAACTTAGGGCTTCATCCTGTTTGTAAACATGATTGTTACATGAAGTTATAGAACCTCTCCCTTGGGACACCTCTATTCAAGGAAAAATGTTTACATAATCTTTGTATTTATTACCTCTATTAAAGGGAGACCTCTATTCAGGGGAAAGGGACACTTTTTTGGGTTCCGAAACCAGGTTTAACCTCCACCAATCACAATGTTGTCAGCATTCACAAACTGAACTTTCTCATATAAATCAATGTACTGCACTTGTGGAAATTCAACGCACAATATCTTGGAGATAAGTTTATCATGTTTTTTATTTATACATTATCTAGCTGCTTTATAATGACTGCAGCGGATTCTGTGGCAGAGTGAAAAATATATATATGTATCGCTCTGTTTTTTAGCTTTCGCAGCGAAAGGCCCGACGCGAAGATAACATGTTATTTTCACATGTGAAGATATCATGTTTTGGCAAAGGTATATGAGATAAATCATATATGAGAACTGCGGAAATGAAATCAAATGAAGAATGATCCTCGCAGTTGTGAACGCAATATATGCAATTGCGTAAGAAGCCTGAAAAAAAATTTCCGGACTTCATTTTGATATATGTTTTCGCTCGAAAGCCCACCTGGTATTTCTTTGATATGTGTATAATAAAATGTTTTATTGAAGTCAAGTTCTGGAAAATCGTTATCGTCAATGAAAAATCTGGAATGACGGCAACAGGTCTTAAAAATGAATAGAAAAGAATTACTTGATTCCTCATTGTTTTCAGTGCAAATCGGTCTTTTTGTGAGAAATGCGCGAAATACTGATTTTACATTTCGTTCCCTAACAGTGCGGTTCTCTGAAGTGTTTTTTTTAGTTATGTTGATAAATGAACAGGATTAAAACGCTGGGCGCAGTCAAAAATGGCGTTATGGTACCACGTTAGGACCAGCTCAGCCGGTAGACCACTGACCTGCAAAGTGTGAGGACACGCGTTCGATCCTCGGGGATGAAACAATACTTTGCGGGCCCCGCGGGGTATTAAAATCAGAGCTTTCACTAAGATTTCAAGTTGTGGGTTTGTTAAAAGGCGGGGAACTGAACAGCTAAGAAGTTCTTTTAGTTCTATTTCCTTTTGTTTTCGATTAGAGTAACCGGGGATCATGCTCATGATAGCCTGGGGAAATCCCCGCCCTCCCCGCCTGGTCCCCTTTGTCAGCACTGAGAAGTAAAGGTACTGCTTTTGCCCTTCAAAGGCAGAAAGGTTTTCGTTCATAAGGTGATCGTGCACTTATGTCCTGAAATGCGAGCAATGCTGAAATGGCGAATCAGGTGAAAAATCGCCAGAGGGTTGGCCAAAATTCAAATGAGATATCAAGAGGCGCAGCGCGAAATTTGAAAAAATAGCCATTCGGACAAAAAAGGCGAAAATTGAAAATCTGGCGACAATTTGCCAAGGGCATGATGAATATTCACTTGCGATGTCAAGAGGCACTTCTTGTTAAGAGGCCGGGGCCTAAGAGGCCAGGGTTCATACAGTCTTAACTTTGAATGTAGTGGCCTGGAAGGTGTTTGAATGCTTTTTGGTTGTCCAAGGCAGAATAGTAATCATAGCTCAGAGAAGTTGAAGGTTATTTACATAAAGCGTTTTTTTGTTCTATGCAATAGTTAACTATCACTTTAAGACAAGTGAACTGAAACATTTAGAGAAGTTGGTGGAACAAACAGTTCAAGCCTTAAAGTCCTATTTCGATGGACTGGGAATGTGCATTTCTTTTTTACAATCTCTGAAATTAAATTCCTCATAGGTGGTCGTTGATAATCGAATGTGGTCCTTGAAAAGACCTTAAAAAGTTGTCGCAAGCTTTTGTATGAACCCTGGAGGCGAATTGGATTAAAATGGCGAATCTGGCGAAAATTGTTAAGGGTCTGAAATTTCAAATGTGAAGGCGCAGGCAAGAGGCGCCTCTTGCACTCTGCCTTCTGAACTTATATTGAGAGCTTTGTTTATTCTCAATATTTCAGAGAGCCCCAGAGACGAGACAGAAGCGTTAGCTGTTCTAGGAAGCTCGGTGGAAGAGGTCTCAAGTCTGTGGAGAATGAATACAAGAACACTAAGATCAAAGCAGCAGTAAAGTTTTATTGCAACACTGACCCTACGATGGCAGCAGTAAGATCGTTTGAAGAGCTAAATTTTGAGGAACTAAAAATATTAAAAGATCCTAAAACACTAATTTACAAGCTCACGCCATTATCGACTTTCTGAAATTAGCGGACACACGCTTGGCTTACTGTTAAGCGGCATTCATCATATGACCAATTTACATTCCACTATCATAGACTAAAATTTTGATGAAATAAAAATATTAAAAAGATCCTAAAATACTAATTTACAAGCTCATGCCATTATCGACTTTCTAAAATTAGCAGACACACGTTTGGCTAGCATTTAAGCGGCCGTCATCAATGAAATCCCCTTGTGGAATTTTTTGGAAGGGTGTCCTGAAACCTCTTACGCATGTGTGTACGGACCTTAAAGTCTCAAGAGAAAGCTATGTTCTAATCCAAGTAATAGTAATCTGATAAGGTTCATCAGTCTTTTCTGAGAGCTTCTCGGCTTCGCGTTTGAGAAAGCAGTCGCAGTCGGCTCCCATCCCACCGTTGTTTCCAAAAACTGGGGGAGTGAAAGATCCCATTTCAACGTCCAGCACCCTTTGTTGGTACTTCCGGTTTTTCTCCTCCTCCTGCTCCTTAAAGATTGTGGATGTTGCTTTTCCTGGTTACACTTAAGGTTAACATGCGTTACTCTGACACCAAAAAATGCTGTAACTCCACGAGACCAAAAGCTCCCTGCCTTCAAGTCCAGTCTTACCTCTGGGCTTGTTACCGCGCTTCTGGGGTTGAATCGCTCATTATAGAGATGTTGTAGTTGTGGTTCGACTTCAACGTTGGTGCAACCGTACCAGTAAGTGAGGTAAGTAGGTTGCGAACACCATCGTGTCTCTGCGCCACAAACCCTCCCTTTTTGCATGACAGGGCATGGCAGACGGTATACTTCTCATCATAAACGTACTTGTTTGGCAAGTCGGACAGGGGCATATTATACCTTAAACGCAGAGTCTCTGAATTTTTGTTCATTCAGCACTAAGCCTTGATCGACAAGAGGCACTGCGTTAAGCCATGAGCTCGCACCCTTGTCTCTCGATTGGTTAACTGACCGCAGCAGATCCGAGGGTAGAGTGGAATCGATACTTTCCATTCTCGATTTCACCGACGTAGTTTTCAAGGCTTGATGTTGTCCTTTTAACTCCTCCGTGGAATTCTCGCCTGCCACCAGGAACATGCTCTATGTGGTAATCATTAACGTAGAAGCAGCAAACTGCTGTGGAGCTTCAAACCTTAAGTCGGGTACGCCCATCCCTCCTTGAGCGGGTGTCAAAGTAACGAGCTGACGCAGATCACTAGGGAGGGGCTCCGTTTGACCGAATAGTGTTGGGAGAAGTAAGTCGTCGATCGCCTCTTGGATAGGGTCAACGTAATCTTCAAACGACTCTATTGTGCTCATGAAATAGGCAAACTTGGACTTGTAACCCATCGTGAAAACAGTTTAGGCTGCATGAGGCTGGCTCCTTGCTATCTCAGATAGTGCCTTGAGTTCTCCTTTCCATCCAAGGACCTTTTCCCGACAATACTGACCTTTGAACTCTTGAGATCCGATGACGGTCCCTAAGTGGCGCTAACCTTCCGTTGTAATACTGACCCTTATCTCCAAACACCCTCTTTGCCTCGTCTGCAAGTGCGTGCGACTTGACAATCAGTCAGCTCTTTGATCCATTCCCTAGATAACCATACTTCTGTCCTTCCTGGCTCAGGTGATTGTACCAGTTATACAACGGCACGATTTGTCCACCCCCCGCAGAGTCGTAGGCTAGCCATACTTGTTTAACACCTGGTGTGCTTGTCCTTAAGCTCTGCATCATGATAGATGTATTGATCGAGTACTAGGGTATGGCCAAGGGATCCCCCTTCGTCGTACCCTCCTGTGATAATATCTCACCTCCGTCGCAAATAAAGAGCCTCGAGGGGCTTCTGTAGGTGTTTATGATGTAAAGTGACATTTCCTTGCAGGTTATCTGGACGTTATGTAAGGCGACGGATCTGTTCATTTGGTTAAAGGCGTTGCTTGCATCTATCAGTAAAATACCATGTGTTCCTTCCTCTACAAACACTTGACTCATAGCATGTATCGCGACCCATGCGCCTGCGCTATTGCCTGCGCAAACCTGGAGGGGGCCCGCTGCCTCTTTGATCTCTTCTTTCAAAAATCCAGCAATAGTTTCTCCAACTATTTGCCTCAGGACCTCACCAACGCCAGTAGGTCGTATTCCAGGGTTTTTGTCCAAGGGGATGAGTCTGCAACAGGTATAGCCTTCCAGCAAAGATGGATGGTGAGCGATCTTTAAAAGGTTTCTTGCGAAAACGGCGATCTCCTCTCTCAAAATAATAATAATAATAATAATAATAATAATAATAATAATAATAATAATAATAATAATAATAATAGTAATAATAATAATAAGGCGGTTCAAACTTGTCATGTAATCTCAGCTCAATGGTAAGAACAAGATCAAAGCAGCAAACACTTGGGCTGAGTCGCTCATGAGGTATGGAGCAGGAACAATTAAATGGAATAAGGAGGAACTTCAGGGAATAGATAGGAAGTCTAGAAAAATCATGACAATGAATAAGGAGCTACACCCTAGAAGTGATGTTGCCAGAATATACGTACCGAGAAAGAAGGGAGGAAGAGGCCTGACCAGTTGTGAGAGTTGCGTGAGGAGAGAAGAGAAATACTTGAGTTGGTATGTGAGAAATGGTGAAGAGGCATTACTCAGCAAAGTTGGAGATAGCAATGTGCATGGTAACGTGGCACGGTATATCCACTGGCAACTTTGTGGTAAATGCGGATTGGAAAGAGCTAATAGCTGGTGTGGACAGAAGCTGGAGGGACTGGTGGAAAGTGAAAACTTCAAGATACTGATACTGTGATCGGAAAATTGAGGCATGAAGACCAGACATTGTCTTTATTGATAAGAAGGAAAGAGAGGTTGTCATAATTGATGTTGCCATCCCAGGTGATGACAGGGTGAAAGATAAGGGACTTGAGAAGTTAGAGAAATACCAACTACTTAGAGATGAAATTGCAAAAGTCTGGCGCATTCGAAAAGTCATTGTAGTGCCTGTTGTTATTGGGGCCCTTAGAGCCGTATCAGTCAAGTTTAAGGAGTACATGAAGTGAATCGGCGTGAACGTGAGGTTGGAAGTTATCCAGAAAACAGCATTGTTGGGGACAGCAAAGATAATAAGGAAAAAACTGTTCCTGTAAGAAGAAGGAAAAGAGAGATCTGGGACCCGTGGTGACTTGTTGTAACCCGCTTCCAAGGACAATAAACCAGGCCCAACATCCGGCCTGAGTCTACAAGGAATGGACATCATAATAATAATAATAATAATAATAATAATAATAATAATAATAATAATAATAATAATAATAATAATAATAATAATAATAATAATAATAACGATAACGATAACGATAACGATAATTAACAGTGGTTGTAGGTGCATTGGGTTCAGTGTCAAAGAAGCTGGCAGGCCGCTTGGAGCAACTAGGAATTAAGAACCGAACAAGAACGATGCAAAAGTCGGCACTCCTCGGATCGGCACATATCCTCAGAAAAGTGCTGGAAGTCTGAGGTCTCGGGATGAGACTTGACTGGATATTTCTCCCCAGGGAAAATCCCTGTGCTAAATTTTGCATAATAATAATAATAATAATAATAATAATAATACAAAGTTGTTTTCCTGTAAATTCCAATACTTCAATAATAAATAATAATTTCCTTCTCGCATTAAATTAGATACAGCTGATGACCTTGAGGGAGATGTCCAAGCTAAAGTTACTAACCACACTGCGAGAGAGGTAGGAACGTTTAACTGAAGGTAGTATTCTGGTAAACTGGCCACCTACCCCTCCTGTAATCCAAAATTTTGCTTTAAGTGTGAAGTTCGTGTTAACGTTGCTTTAGGGGAGGGGTACTGAGGTGGGTAGTTTCCCATAGTCGTACACCAAAAGAGGATAAAGGGGACAGAGAAGGCATCCTCCGTACACACCCTATTCCATAGGTAATTCGTCTCGAGTTATTTTTTAAAACCACAGATCCCAAGGGGGATTAGACAACAGCCAATCACGTAGCGCGAATGTACTCCGCGTGGATGACCCACGCTCTGAGCCACGCGTCTTTCACGAATTAACGCAGAAAAAAATGGCGGAAGACGCGGAGAGCGATATTGCTATTCGTTTTGTCGACGAAAACGACTAAAGAGAGATTTCTGTTAAAGCTGTATCAGCGGAAAAGAAATTAAAAAGAATCCCCCTTCCTCTCTTGCTAACAGTACAGCAGGGAAATCCTTAACACACTGAATATTCTCTCAGGATCATTTTTAATTTACAGTTTGAAGAGAGCAATTTCTGGTTTGATATTTATTCTTTCATTAGTCTTTTATTATTCAACAAAAATAATACTGGGCGTCCTATAATAATAATAATAATAATAATGATAATAATCTAATAACTTCTAGAGCGCTATTTACATTCACTGATCAACAGGGCTTAACAAATTAAAAAAACTACAATAAAATTCAAATTTGTAAAACTAATTACATGTACATGAATATTACTTGCTACTTGCTTTATTGTACAAAAGACCGGTTTGAATAGACCGGCGAAATTTCTCATTTTGTTTACGCACTGAGGCTACGATAACTTCGAGTTAAACTGATTTCACGGGTTGTCGACAACGAGTCGAGCGATTCCCTTTTCCCAGGTGAGCGCCGACTCATTTCGCTTCAATATTCAGAAATGCTCTCGATCTCTTTACGCTTTCATTGCCTTTCGCCCGACATGTTTTGCATGTTTAGTCATGCGAAACCTCCACGAAACATTCCACAGCGCGCGAGGTAACTTTATCCCGATTCTAAAAATAACTCGAGACGAATTACCTATGGAATAGGGTAAGTACGGGGGATGCCTTCTCTGTCCCCTTTATCCTCTCTTGTCGTACATCGATCCAAATTGCTCATTAGCATACGAGTTAACCCATAGAAGGGGTCACCATATGCACAAATCAAATTCAAAAGTTGAAAGAGTTGGTTAATTGAAGCAATTTGTGCACTTTTCAAATTGCAAGCAATAACAAAGGAAATGGCAGCCACCGAAAACCGCGAAATTGCTGGGTAGAAAAACGATAATGAGCCCATACATTCTTTGCAGTTTTAGGTTTTTCAAAGAGAATTTCTCCGAAACTATTGGATATATCGGGCTCAAATTTTCAGAGAGAACAGAAATTGTTCTGCTCTTTCGATATTCAGAGAGTTTATTTTGATAGCTTGATCAGAGAATGAAAGTTGCATCCTAATTAAGAAAAAAATGTAAACAAAGATTCGCCTATACCTAACCATAAATGGTCTCCTTTTACAGGGCCATGTCCCTCAGCATTCAGCTGTAAAAATTGCTTATTAGTGTTGACTTTGATTAGAAAACTAGGCACCATCTAGTCCTTAGCGGCTTGCCTTCCGTTTTGCTAACCGTCCCGTCAATGTAGACTGTGTTTTCCCGCCTTTTTTCTCTCTCATACTAACAGTCGCATCAATGTGTTTTGCAGTACAAAGTGACGTGGAACCCACCGAAAGAACCCAATGGTCTTGTGCTTAAATATGACATAGAAATCAAAAGGGTAGGTAAATTACGAAGTGCTTCATGCCCTAATGTTGGCAGAATAGTGAAAGCAAACTATGGTCGTGCAAAGACTGTTCTTAATGTCCATTGTGCACATATACAAAACGAAAACCCAATTTATAATAACATTGAAACCTGAAACTTCTGGGGCCGCTAGAATGAAGAAAATAGTCTGGATGCGGAATCCCTAACAGAGAGCGCAAAGTACCAAGGGAAGGTTAAAGCGCTGTAACGAAGGCACACGTTCCCCAGGGGGGTGAGGGGGGCGTAATAAGCTAAAAAAGCATTTTGTTTTCTTTCAAATTTCTTGTGTTTGGCAATGAACAGGACTCTTTTTCTCCGGACATGCTGTGTTGTGATGGCAAAAAGCGTGATTATCTTGGAGCAACTAGTGCTGCTGGAAACTTTTCTGTTCGTGTACGAGCCATCACTCCCGCGGGAAATGGATCTTGGAGCCCGGTAGCTTTATTCTCTCTACAAGAAAAAGAGAAAGCCACAAGTGAGTGTCTAACGTATTTTTCTGCTTATCATGTGAGATATATTTATATTCGTTAAAAAACTAGGGCTTCGTCCTATGTGTAAAGATGATTGTTACATGAAGTTATAGAACCTCTCCCTTGGGACACCTCTATTCACGGAAAAATGTTCACAAAATCTTTGTATTTGTTACCTCTATTAAATGGAGACCTCTATTCAGGGGAAAGGGACACTTTTTCTGGGTCCCGAAACCAGGTTTAACCTCCACTAATCACAATGTTGTCAGCCCTCACAAACTTAACTTTCTCTCATAATTCAATTTATTATATAGACGCGAGTGTTTCACTGGAAAATATACCACTCGTAAAATTCATAAAAACTACATCCGGGACCCAAGTGGTTTATTTTCCATAATCTCACACGTGAGTTTATCGATGTCGTAATTTCGTTAATTTCCCTCCGAAATTTGTAGGCGTCTTGCGTCTTTTGAATTTTACTTACACATTTTTCAAAGTTTTGCTTATATTTTGTCATTGTAGAGCCCTATTCCGTTCAGTGTTATTTCTCAAGATTATTGTAAACAACGTCTTATATTGTTGTACTGTAAATTTGAGTCATCACAATTACAATCTATTATTTTATTAATGTCTTTTTGTCTATATAATAAAAAGAACATTACACGGCGGCTTGAAGATATCAATTTTATTTTCTCGTGGCAAAAACAATATTTTACGAACGAGCGCAGCGAGTTCGTAAAATATTGTTTTGCCACTCGAAAATAAAATTCATATCTTCGCGCCACCGTGTAATATCCTCTATGTACTGCACTTGTGGAAATTCAACGCACAGTATAGTGGAGATACGTTTATCATGTTTTTTTTTTTAATACATTATCTAGCTACTTTATAATAACTGCAGCGGATTCTGTTGCAGAGTGAAAAATATATATGTATCGCTCTATTTTTTAGCTTTCGCAGCGAAAGGCCCGACGCGAAGATGTAGAGGATATTACATGGACGCGCGGAGATAGGAAATTTCTCTTCGAGTGTTTCAACACGAGAAGAGAAATTTGGTATCTCCAAGCGACCATGTAATATTCTATTTATTATATAAAGACCAATTTATGCAATTGCGTAAGAAGCTTGAAAAAAAATTTCCGGACTTCATTTTGATATATGTTTTCGCTCGAAAGCCCACCTGGTATTTCTTTGATATGTATATAATAAAATGTTCTGGAAAATCTTTATCATGAATGAAAAATCTGGAATGACGGTAACAGGTCTTAAAAATGAATAGAAAAGGATTACTTGGTTCCTTATTGTTTTCAGTGCAAATCGGTCTTTTTGTGAGAAATGCGCCAAATACCGATTTTACATTTCGTTCGCTAACATTGCGGTTCTCTGAAGTGTTTTTTTTAGTTAAGTTGATAAATGAACAGGATTAAAACTCTGAGCGCAGTCAAAAACGGCGTTATGATATTTCATCCGTTTGACCACGCTAGGACTATTGTAGCTCAGCCGGTAGACCGCTGACCTGCAGAGTGTGAGGACACGCGTTTGATCCTTGGGGATGGAACAATACACTCCGCGCCCCGCGGAGTATTAAAATCAGGGCTCTCACTAAGATTTCAAGTTGTGGATTTGTTAAAAGGCGGGGAACTGAACAGCTAAGAAGTTCTTTTGGTTCTATTTCCTTTTGTTTTCGATTAGAGTAGCCGGGGATCATGCTCATGATAGGCTGGGGAAATCCCCGCCCTCCCCGCCTGGTCCCCTTTGTCAGCACTGAGAAGTAGAGGTACTACTTTTGCCCTTCAAAGGCAGAAAGTTTTTCGTTCATAAGGTGATCGTGCACTTATGTCCAGAAATGCGAGCAATGCTGAAATGGCGAATCAGGTGAAAAATCGCCAGAGGGTTGGTCAAAATTCAAATGAGATATCAAGAGGCGCAGCGCGAATTTGAAAAAATAGCCATTCGGGCAAAAAAGGTGACAACTGAAAATCTGGCGACAATTTGTCAAGGGTATGGTGAATATTCACTTGCGATGTCAAGAGGCGCTTCTTGTTAAGAGGCCAGGGTTCGTACAGTCTTAACTTTGAATGTAGTAGCCTGGAAAGTGTTTGAATGCTGTTTGGTTGTCCAAGGCAGAATAGTAATCATAGTTCAGAGAAGTTGAAGGTTATTTACGTAAAGCGTTTTTTACAATCTCTGAAATTAAATTCCTCATAGGTGGTCGTTGATAATCGAATGTGGTCCTTGAAAAGACCTTAAAAAGTGGTCGCTAGCTTTTGTATGAACCCTGGAGGCGAACTGGATTAAAATGGCGAATCTTGCGAAAATTTTTAAGGATCTGAAATTTCAAATGTGAAGGCGCAGGCAAGAGGCGCCTCTTGCACTCTGCCTTCTGAACTTATATTGAGAGCTTTGTTTATTCTCAATATTTCAGAGAGCCCCAGAGACGAGACAGAAGCGTTAGCTGTAGGAA